TTTTTTTTTTATCTTTTTGTTTTTTGTGAGGGAGATCAGCCCTGAGCTAACATCTGTGCTAATCCTCCTCTTTTTGCTGAGGAAGACAGGCTCTGAGCTAATATCTATTGCCAATCCTCCTCCTTTTTTTTCCTTCCCCAAAGCCCCAGTGGATAGTTGTATGTCATAGCTGCACATCCTTCTAGTTGCTGCATGTGGGACGCGGCCTCAGCATGGCCCGACAAGCGGCGCGTCGGTGCGCGCCCGGGATCTGAACCCAGGCTGCCAGTAGCGGAGTGCGCGCACTTAACCACTAAGCCACCGGGCTGGCCCCCTATATTAGTTTTAACTAAATATTATCTGCTCCTACCATGATACATATACATTAAATTCGACAAAAGAAAAGAATCATTGGAAAAGTGGAAAAATAATATAATTTTGCTGTGCTCATGCACTACATAATTGAAAATTTAAATATTTGCCTCTTAAATCTTAAGTTAGACAAAGGTTAAGTATAGCCCATAAATGCTTTAAAAGAGGAAGAGAAAGGAGTGGTAGGGGTGGTGGCTGGGTTGGGGTGGAAGAATTAATTTTATATTAAAGCTTTCTGATGTGGGTAATATTAGTTCACAATGAAAAAAATAGAAAAGAAAATAGGACAGCCCTAATACGTTTACCCTGGCAACTTCTGAACTGAAAACTAAATTTACGTTTTGAGATCAGACCCAGATCCAGAAGGCATGAGTTCTGGTTGAAGGAATGCCTACAGGACTCCAAAGAAAAATTTTTAATTAGATAAAACATTAGAACTTTTTGCTAAGTATTAAGTTTCACCTGGTTATCCTGATCTTCTGAGAAGTCGATGAGTTCATCTTCAAGCATTTTACTACCTTCAGCTGACTCATCACTATAGTTTAGTCTGATTTTGCTTAAGCCATCTGTATTGATAAGAAACATTATATAATAAAAAAAGAACATGCATATAACTTATAGTATATGATGTTATGCCAGTAGTCAATTAATGATGTAGTGATTAAAGATACAAAATCTGCCTTAGCATGTAGTATCACAAATATAAAATAAATTACTTTTAATAACCCTGGAATGACATGTCAATTACAGAGTTGTTTCTACTACTCAGGCCCTAAAATTCATTAAAATTTAAAAATGAGGTATTAATTATCTGATTAAATATATGTATATTTAAATACATATATGTATGTATATAAATAAATGTATTTGTGCTAGATATGCCAGATATCCTTAATAACAGAAGCTACATAGTCTGAAAATAACTTAAATGTCCAATAACAGGAACAGTTAGCAAACTGTAGAACATAAACTATTGTACATCTTAAAAATTAAAACTGTGAACATATGGGAAGTTGTACAGTAATCATCATGTTAGGAGAGTAGTTATGGAGGAGTTCCCCAACTCTGCATGTTTTTCCTTCACGTTTGGTTATGTTCATAGACTTTTCAATAAAATAAAACAACACAAGCCAAATGTAGGTCCTGGTAGGATGAAAATAAATGACTCATAAGAAAAATTCGAAATGGATACTTTTAAAGGTCTGTTTCAAAAATCTAAATCCTTAAAAATCAATTATTTTCAATTGATTTATTAGCTGAAAGAAGCAAATCACATAAAATGTTTCAAAGACACAGAAGATTTCCATGAAAATAATGAAAACTGAGTCAAGGACTTCAATACCAAATATGCTAATATTGTTTACTATAGAGCATACCATTTCCAAGTTTTAAAAAGCATGACTTTAAGGTATTTTTAGACAGGATAAAATTTATTTGGCATAAGTTATTAAAAAAGAATTAAGGATATTAATATAAGCAAGATGGGATGAGAAGACAGAAAAATAAAATGTGCTCCTTAAAAGACATATATAAATCTAAATGTTGTGATCAGAAACATACTATTTAAAATAACTAATAAAGCACTACGGTAAATCCTTTTGTTATGCAAACAATAACCTTTCTATTTATCTTTTTCAAAAATCTATATTTTTATGCTTGCAGCTAAAACATCTATATTTGAATGAAATTTGTTTAAATCCTTAGGCAATTCAGAATTAGTCAATAACAATCAAGTTATTCTAGCAGCAAATTATTCCTATCTACCGAAACTGTGTCATATCAATATGAAGCTTATACAAGTTAAACTGTATGTGCATTTCAAAACTGGAGAAAAATAATTTAAATAGTGTAGTCAATTCCTTCAATTATTTCATTCAGTAAACAAATGCCCAGGTGTAAACTGAGTTGATAACTCAATCAGCTGTTTGCTTAATTAGTGCCAGTTCTTGAGAGCTTTTCCTACAGTGAGCTCATCTGAACATGCTGAGGGTAATTCTAGAGCTTAAACATACACGTTTTCACGCTCCATACAAGAGAACTATTTCATATGGTGCCCAACTGAAAAAGCAGCAAATGAAGCAGTGATACCACACATTGTTATTTTCCTACAGTTGACCTTAAAAACCTAATCCCTGTGATAAGATACAATTCCCCTTATTTACCACAGCATGTTATCTGCCCTCAGTAGTCAACATGTGACTGTAAGTGTTCGATGGTAAAAATTATGTTAAAACTGTCTAAAATGCTTCATTTAAATCCTGTCAACTATAGTCCTAGACCAAACAGAAATCAATTACTGAGATATTAATCATATCACAAAAATTTCTACAAGCTCTTCTTATCCTGGTTTTTAATGCCATCATTTTCTATGGGATAGACTGCTTGATGATCCTTTCTGAGGTAGCGGAGGCACTCCTACACAGCACTCTTCTTTACTGTCATTTTGGGTGAATGATCCCTGGGAAACACGTGATGAAAGCTATGGGACCTCATTCCTGAACAATGCACAGACCTGCCATAGAGCACCATTCTTTAAACCATGGGACACTATCATCCTTGGATTAAGATGAGCATTAAAAAGAACAGGAAATAGTGCATCACAGAGTCAAGGTAAATTAACTTCCTTTAAGGAAGATGCGGGTGATATGGTTACACACATAGTAAAAACAAAACAAAAGCAACACTATAATAAAAAAGAATAAATAGAATAAATAGATATTAGAAAGGCAAACTACATGAAACAGGTTATTCTTTACTTTGGCCTCCACTGGGATTTGTGAGGATATTTACCCAAATTTAACAGGCTACTACTTGACTAGAACACTAATTTGTAAGAGAGAGCCACTAGGAATTTCTGGGGTTTGTGTATATGAAGCCCCAGGCTTTGTCCCATTGCTGTGTTTTAAATCATGCACTTTAATTCATTTGAGTTCAAGTGTATGCGATTACAGATAAAGGGAACTTAAAAAAAAATAGTTCTATGGAGATATAATTCACATAGCATACAATTCATCCATTTAAAGTGTACAATTCAGTGGATTTTAGTATATTTACACGTGTGCAACCATCACTAGAGTCAATTTTAAAACATTTTGAAAGAAGTTTTAAACTTCAAAAAGAAACCCTGTACCCTTCAGCTATCACCCCTCTCCCCATGTTCCTGTCCTCCTATCATAGTGGCTAAGCAGCCACTAATCAATTCTACAGATTTTCCTGTTTGGGAGATTTCATACAAATGGAATCATATAATATGTGGTCTTTCGTGACTACTTTCACTTAGCATAATATTTTCACGGTTCATCTATGTTGTACATGTATCAGTACTTCATTTCTTTTTATGGCTTAATAATATTCCATTGGATGGATATACCACACTTTGATTATCCATTTGTCAGCTGATGAACATTTGGGTTGTTTTTACCTTTTGGCCATTACGAATAATGATGCTATAAACATTCATGTCCAAGTTTTTGTGTGGACATGTTTTCTTGGGTATATATATAGCAGTGGAATTGCTGGGTCTTATGGTAACTCTATATTTAACTTTTCAAGGAACTGTCAAACGGTGTTCCAAAGTAGCTGCACCATTTTACATCCCACTAATAATATCTGAGGGTTCTGATTTCTCCATAGCCTCGCTAACACTTGTTAGTATCTGACTTTTGATTCTGGCCATGCTAGTGTGGTATGAAAAGGTATCTCATTGTGGTTTTTTTTTTTTTTTTTTTTTGAGGAAGATCAGCCCTGAGCTAACATCCATGCCAATCCTCCTCTTTTTGCTGAGGAAGACCGGCCCTGAGCTAACATCTATTGCCAATTTTCCTCCTCTTTTTCCCTTTTCTCCCCAAAGCCCCAGTCGATAGTTGTATGTCATAGTTGCACATCCTTCTAGCTGCTGTATGTGGGACGCAGCCTCAGCATGGCTGGACAAGCGGTGCGTCAGTGTGCGCCTGGGATCCGAACCTGGGCTGCCAATAGCAGAGCACACACACTTAACCGCTAAGCCACGGGGCCAGCCCCTCATTGTGGTTTTGATGTACATTTCCTTTATGATCAATGATGTCCAGCATCTTCTCATGTGCTGACTGGCAGGACTTTATTTTAAAGGGAATCAGAAACAGTGCACACTGCCTTGAAGGCTTAGTCTTTAGAGTACCCAAAGTGGTAATTAATCTCCAATGTGGCTATTCACTGCCTCTTTTAATTTTTTTCTATGCAAATTTTTTTTTTTTTTTTTTGAGGAAGATCGGCCCTGAGCTAACATCTGCCAACCTTCCTCTTTTTCCTGAGGAAGACTGGCCCTGGGCTAACATCCATGCTGATCTTCCTCTACTTTATATGGGATGCCGCCACAGCATGGCTTGACAAGCGGTGCGTCAGTATGCGCCCAGGATCCGAACCGGTGAACCCCAGGCCGCCGCAGCAGAGCGCACGCACTTAACCACTTGCGCCACTGGGCCGGCCCCTCTACACAAATATTAAAATACTAAAACTGAAAAGAAACTACAGGCAGTACTTGGTGGTTACCTACTTTGCCTCTCTTCATTCCATTTCCTGCCTGATGAAAGACACTGGACAGTGAGCTAGAAAAGGCAGTATTTATCTGCTAGGCTTTTGAAGTACTATTTTACTATATCTGCTAAATTTCCCCTTTCTGCCTCTTATTTTATACCTTCCAAGGGCACATTCTAGGGCTAATGTCAGCTTTATGCAGCTCTGTGATAAAACAAATAAAAAATATTTTTATAAGAACTCAGCAACAGCTTTCTGACTCAGTAAAATAATATACGCTGGTAGAGTACCAAGAGTATGTTCAGCATTCACAATTTCTGATATATTCTTTCTGAATTCACATAATTTCTTCTATGCTTTATATTGACTTTTTTCCACCAAAGAAAATGTATTAGATCTAGTCACTGTTAAGTACATTTGCGAGGTACAACTATAGCATGTTATGGAGCAGACTATTTTACTTTTGGGTTTGAGAGGAAATTATACAATTGATTTGATATGAAATTTAAGGATTTGAACAGAAACCTGAGATTTCTATAACAAGTGCTAGAAATACGGAACTGGTTGAAGGAAAAAAACGAATTTATTAGAAATGAAGAGAAATAAAAAGAGGCGGGACCAACGCCCTTCTTCCCATTGAAAACAATGAAGGAGAGTGACGAATAAGGAACTAACCTTTAATTTGAACATCAACAAGTATTTTGGAGGAGAAAGCTTTAATTTCTGCCGCTGGCCACTTGATCTCAAGCCCATCTGTAAGCTGAGAAAACTGAACAAATTGGCCTGACAGATTTAAGACTGTGCAACTTCTGTTTATGCTGAATACAGTAAATTTTCTATGAAATAAAAATAAATCCAAGTTCCTATAAATGGAAACTGTCGACCTCGTACTCCATTTTAAAACTGCACTCTCTGTAGGAGTGAGGGAAGGAGATGACTGCAAAGGGGGCACAAAGGAATTTTTTGGAGTGATGGGAAGGTTCTAAACTGTGATTATTGTAGTGATTACATGACGTATATATTTATCAAAGCTCAATGAGCCAAACTTATAAAATAAGTGAATGTTATTGTAAGTAAATTTTACCTGAATAAGCCTGACTTAAAAAAAAAAAAAAAAAAGTGCGTCCTGAAATCTTAATCCTGTTTATAAAAAATTCAATTTATTCTGAATTCCTCGATTCTTTCAAAACATTAAGAGACATACCTGTATGGTGCACAGAACTTAAATATTCATTCTGTAGGCCATTCTCACTTTTAGTCCTATCAACAACTTTCTGGCATGCAGATTCTCCTTTATTCGATTCTTCATTTTCACTTGCAGTATGATTTATTTTTTTCAGGCTACATTTCACACTGCATATGTTTCTCCGACAACGAGGCTCACTTTCCTCCTGTTCAGCACTTGGGTCAATTACAGCTACACAATGCTTTTTGTTTAGCATCTTCTTAATTACAGGCTTGGCAGAAGAGTTTTGTGAACAACTGTCCATTTCACTGGCTGAAGGAGAAGAAATACAACTGTCCTCTATAGTTGAACATTTTTGCATGACTGTATTTTCATGGTAATGAGGATTAGGTTCATACTTTGGTTTTTCCAAACCAGGGAAACAAACAACAGCCAAAAACCAGTGTGCACTGTAAAAAACAAATGAAACTACTGAATATATTAGAAAAGTTTATTATATTTGGCAATAAATATCAATTGAAATGTTTTTATCTAAAGCTTTTGTGAACAAATTTATTAAGAATTCCCATTCTCGAATCCACATGTTTATATGATCATTGATTCACTAACAGAATACAATGTCTATTCAAAAATAACAATTTTTGTTAGAATTACATAGCCTGCATTCACTTTCGCAAACAATCCTTTGAACCTTTTCTTGCTTGTGGAATGAAAAAGTCATTGTTTTTTCAGGCAATTTAACAAAATGTTAATTGCATCACTGCAATTCATCATTCCCATTTACCTTCCCTTTGCCCTACTTATGTCAAAGGACAGAAAACTATCTAGCCTCAAGATTAAAATGTTGTCAGAAGTCTAATTAAGACTGTATAATTTCAAACATTTTCTAAATGTTGTACATATACAGCTTTTTACAAACTTTTACTATGTTTGTGTTTTTCTTATTAATAAGGTAGGAACTGCTTAATATTGAAAATATTAAATAATCCTTTGTCTCATGCTATATTGAAATGTAAATACACTAAAATGAAATAACATATCTAATCTAACCATTATTACAAAACTTCAAGTATTAGTAGAGTTCCAGCTCTCAAGTGGGTGCTCATGATATAGCTGAATTCAGGTATCCCAGTTCCCGACTGTAGGATATAAGCTATGAGTAAGAAGCTGTATAGCTAATATTGGCTAATATTCATTAATCCAATGAAGAATTTTATTAAGCGCTTACTATTTGCTAGGCACAGCATTATGTGCTGGGATGCAATGAACAGGCTATACATGTCAGAGAATTTATTAGCTAAGCATAATATTTGTCATATAGTATGGTATTCAACAGATATTTGCTGAATGAAATAATGAATATCTTGACATGGATAAAAGTTATTCTACATTCTCATTTCTGCAAAATGTTAAATTACCCTAAGGTAATACTAAGAAACAGCACTCTCTCTTCATCGGACAGCATTAGTAGAAAGGTCACAGAGTCTGGTATTGTACTGGTCCTGGTCATCCTCAGTATTGTAAAGGTCAGATGGAGAAATGCTTCTCTCCTGTTCTTAATTATTAATTCTCAGTACCCTACGGACTTGGGTGAGGCTAGGGTAGTAGAAAGAGCAGTACACCAACTTCCTCACTTCATCAACTCTAAGACAGTGGATTTTAAGTAAGTCACATCTCAACTTTAGAAATGTTAAAATCTGAAAAAATGATTTTTTTTTTTTTTTTTGTGAGGAAGATCAGCCCTGAGCTAACATCCATGCTAATCCTCCTCTTTTTGCTGAGGAAGACAGGCTCTGAGCTAACATCTATTGCCAATCCTCCTCCTTTTGTCCCCCGCCCCAAAGCCCCAGTAGATAGTTGTATGTCATAGTTGCACATCCTTCTAGTTGCTGTATGTGGGACGCGGCCTCAGCATGGCCGGAGAAGCAGTGCCTTGGTGCGCGCCCGGGATCCGAACCCGGGCCGCCAGCAGCGGAGCGTGCGCACTTAACCACTAAGCCACGGGGCCGGACCCTGAAAAAATGTGCTTTAAAATTGATTAAATATGGTATAATACAGTGATTCTCAATCTAAAGCTATGAACTAACTCTATCACAGTTTTTAACATTTCTTAGTTATGACAATATGGATAAGTCATAAATTTTCTACTGCCTCATCTAAAAACTAGGAAAAATTCTTTCTTCACCTAGTTGAAAGGAGAAAGCTGAATCACATACACCAGAGGTCACTTTCCACCTCTAAGACCCAGAGTTTTGCTGTTATGATCCCTTTTAATACCAGCTACATTAACCTTAAATCACCAGTAGGGGAAAAGGCTAAAATAGGTAATTTCACTTATCTTAAATTGGATTAGATACACATATCAAATTTCTGCTCCTTATCACTTACTGTGACAATTTTTAACGAGTAGCTTATAAATTTTTAAGTTTAAAGAAATTAACACCATCAGAAAAATTAAAATAGATGATAAATATATAGCAGCCTAACATAGTGTATATAAATATTTGTGAATTTACCTACTCAAAAACAAAAGAGCCCTCGTGATGTGGAGGCAATTCTTCCGTCTACAAAGGCATAGTACTCCTGCAGAATCCTTCACTGATTCCATGTCTTTGCTCATTCTCTACCATTTACCAAGATGGCTGGAAGCACTGATCAGAGCTTCCAACCACATCAGACACAGTGACTAAGAGGGATGTGCCTCCATTGCTGAATTCTGTGTACCTCAAATTATATTTCTATTTTACATTTTTATAATTCATTTCTAACAAATGGCTTTCTATGTATATCCTCCCTTTCACCTAGTAGGCAGCTAACACGTTAGTGTATACGACAAATTAGTGTTAAGAAACACTAATAAACACCTTATTTTGAGGAGAATTAAGAAATTAAAGATTAGTTTTAAAAATTTTATGATGATACCATATTTGATTTAAAAAATTACACAGCTTTGAAGAAGTTGGGCTTTATAGCCATAACCAATGTTTTGACCTAGCCTACCTATCTTTGGCTGGGCTAATTAGAGAGTATAGGTCTTATGATTAAAGCATGATTTTAAATAAATAGAGTTGGATTATAGTATAGAATGAATTTGTTTTCCATAGGGAGAGGAAAAAAAAGAACACAATCAGAAACTAGCCTGGCACAGCTAGGTTTATTAGACATAAAGAATCTGACAGAATACCAACCTCAGACAAGGTTACTCTGCAACCATGATTATATGAGACAAAGCAAGGCCATTTCATAATTTGTCTAAGCAGACACAAACATAAGGTCACAATGCAACCCAAAAAATACCAAACACCCCCCTTTTTCGCTAAACGAGGGAACGCTACTTTACCCAAACAAACCACAGCTTCCTTAGACCTTCCCACAAATCACCAAACCAAAGCCCAAATTCTGTTATAGGCTCTTTCAAACACACTTTTACTGAGAGGCTCCATGGTTGCCCATGGTACGTATTCTCCCTTGATGCAAGTAACAAACCCAAGTTGTCCAACTACAGGTGTATTCCTGGGGGTCTTTGGCTGGAGGGCATAGGAAAACAAAAAAAATGAAATACAGGAGTGATGTCAGCACCATGGCAGAATGAGCTCTCCCCCTTAGACTCTCCAACCCTAAGATACAACAAAAAGGACACTCCAGGGCCGGCCGCATGGTGCTCCGCTGCTGGTGGGCCGGGTTCAGATCCCGGGTGCACACCGATGTGTTGTGGCGGCATTCCATATAAAGTAGAGGAAGATGGGCACAGATGTTAGCCCAGGGCCAGTCTTCCTCACCAAAGAGAGGAGGACTGGCATAGATGTTAGCTCAGGGTTGATCTTCCTCACCAAAAAAAAAAAACGGACATTCATATACCAACAGAGGACATTCACACAACACAAAAGACGTCTGAGAGACCCATGCAGCCATACGTCTGAAGGTGGAGGTGTGGTACCCCTGGAGAAAGTGGAAGGAGGTAAGGAGAACTCCTCTCCTTCCCCAATGACAGTGACCCTGGGACTGGGACTGCATGGTTCTCTGAGGGGGGGCGGGAGGGGTGGCCCTCTGCAGGAAAACCGTCTCTCTCCAAGTTCTCTCACAGCCTGTGGGAAATTCCCATACAGAGGGGACTGAACTGTTGCAGGGGTGCCTTCATCAAGCTAGCACCCCAGGAGAGCACACAGCAAGGGAAGAATGAGAAGCCCCTGAGATCGGGCAGGGGAAGAAAGAGGACCCTCACTCTGGGACCACGCGGCCCTCAGAGAGAAAGGGGGGAGGGGCAGCCATTCACGAGAAAACCATCACTCTCCAAGTTCTCTCACAGCCTGTGGGAAATTCCGATACAGAGGGCACTGAACTGTTGCGGGGATGCCTTCATCAAGGTAGCACCCCAGGAGAGCAGATAGCAAGCAAGGAGGGAGAAGTCCCCAGCATCCAGTAGGTGAAAGAAAAAGCCCCTGCCCTAGCCCAGAGCACCAGCACAGCCAGTCGGCCAGAGCGCCTGTGCAGCACAGTGGGCTCAGAATACACAGCTCTTGACCCCCACCAAGTGGTGGCAGGTGGAAGCTGCAACCAGTTATTTCCAGAATGAGGAAAAATAAATCCATGTCCTCAAGCAGTATGCAAAAATATATTAAATCTCCAGATGGAAACTTCCAGAAGGAAAATGACAAGCACCTAGAAATCAATCCTGAAGGCACAGAAATTATAACCTGAATGACACAGAATTCAAAATAGCTATCATAAAAAAGCTCAAGGAACTACAAGAAAATACAGATAGACAATTCAACGAACTCAGGAAATTCTTCACGAGAGACTGAAAAAGGAAAACCATATAAAGAAAAACCAATCAGAAAGGTTTGAGATGAAAAACACAATGGAGGAGATAAAAATATGGAATCTTCAAAGAACAGAGCTGACAATATGGAGGAAAGAATTAGCAATATTGAGGATAGGAATGCAGAAATGCTCCAGAAGGAGAAGAGAGAACTAAGACTAACAAGAAATAAATTCTCCAAGAAATATCCAACTCAATTAGGAAATGCAACATAAGGATTATATTCCCTCCTTCTTCCAGAGGGAGAAGAGTGGGAAAAAGGAGCAAAGAACTTGTTCAAAGAAATAATAGCTGAGAACTTCCCAAACCTGGAGAAGGACCTGGAATTACAAGTAAATGAAATCAATAGATCTCCTAAATATAACAAGGCATACAGTAGTAAAGCTGGCAAAAGTCAATGATAAAGAAAAAATATTAAAGTCAGCAAGACAAAAAAAAAATAATGTATAAAGGAATTTCTATCGGGCTCTCAGCCGATTTCTCAGCAGAAACTTTATAGGCTAGGAGAGTGGAATGATATACTCAAAATTCTGAAAGATTAAAACTTTCAGCCAAGAATACTCTATCCAGTGAAAATATCCCTCAGATATGATGGAGAAATAATAACTATCCCAAATAAACAAAAGCTAA